CAAGTACGTAACCTAATATTAGTAAACATCAGCAAATACTTGTGAATGAATAAATAAATTAGTCACTGCCTACTTGATACAATTCTCATGCAGAGATACAATTCTCACTGCAGAACTGGTCAAAGAAAGGCAAGAGTATTCTACAGCCCACTTAGTAGCTAGAGTAGCTAGAACAAACTATCAGCACTGTGATTAATTAGCCAAAAGGCCAGGGACTTTTCAGGGCAAGAATAACAAGGTGTCTATCTGTGTCCTGGACTCCTGGAATTCTTTAGAAAAGGATAAATACCATTGACCAGACTATGACTAACCAACTATGGAGGTCTTTCTCTAGGAACAATGAATTCATTAGCACTTACAGTCTTCAGATAAGTGGGCAAATCTTAGTCCTAGGCACAGCGGGTAGATCCTCAAACTTCACTTTCACCAGATATTGGTGTTCCGAATACAGCAAGGGAGTCCATGTAGGCAGGCAAAAATCAATTTTGAGAAATAAAAACAACTTGTATATGTTTAAAAGCCTAATGGCTTTTAAAAATTTTACTTGCAAGTCTTTATACTGTACTACTTTATTTGGTTAATTTGTTAAAGGATTATGATTTTATAAATATGTCATGGTTAATGAATGTTCTGTCATTCAGCTGACTTCCACTATGCAAATAAAATTCAAACTACTTAGCTTGGCATAAAAGCCCTGTGTGGTATGTTTTCAAAGTAACAAGTTTTCCAGAATCATCTCAAATTGTCTTCATAGGCATTTAATGCTCCAGCCATAGTAAATTTCTCTTTCGGATGTTGATGAATTTGCATATGCCATTTCCTGTGGCATATGCCTGTGAATTTGCTCCAAATCTGAGAACTCCTATTTTTTTTTTTTTATCAAGATCCAATGCCACTGTTGTCCCCTCATTACCAAATCTCAAAGAAGAGTAAATTATGGTAGAATCTTTACAGTTGCTACCTCTCTCCAGTGACCACCTTCTTAAGTTGACCTACTTTTCATAGACCAGACATGCACCACATGTAATTATCAGTATAGCAGGACTAGTACTGGGTGTTGACCACCTCTGTATGGTGACCATTTTGTTACAGTCCCTTGAGTGGTCAGCTTACAGAGGATCTATTCTATTTCCTTCCCTATGTTTCTGAATATATCTCTAGTCTTAAAAATTGCATACCTTATTGTTTTATAACCATTTACTTTATGACTTCATGCACTAGACTTTCAGCTCCAAAATGGCAGAATTCAAGTCTTCATTTTGTCTATTTTGCCCTAATTCAACAAGTGATCTGTGGCCGGATAAAATCACTCATACATATACACTTATGGAGGCATTACCAAAATTATATACCATCTATAATTGTTCCAAGCAATTTAATAACACTACTTGTAAACAAATTGATCACACTACAAATTGACCCCCAAATGGTTTTGTCTACATTGTAGTTATGGTAGACATTTGCTCTGGCATGTGGCCATCTGGGAAGAGTAAAATTTCTTATACCTATAATTACATCTATGTAGCCTGCCATGAGAAATGATTTTTCTAGTCTAAAAGCCGGGCTGAAAATGCCATGTTTTTGGCAATTTCATTAACATTTTACAATGTTAACAATTCTGTCTGCCCAAACTGAAAATGACTATGTGAGAAATGAAAGCTTGCATAACTCTGACACCCGCTATTCACAGCTCATTATCTTCCCGACTTTCATTATGCAGTGAGGATGTGGGGTCAGCCTTACAGAATTTAGGAACAATTAAGAAAATTACTGTATGTAGATGTGACTTATGGACTGAGAATAACTAACTTTCTAAAAGACTATATTAAATAAAATAAATAAAGATGATGAATCATCCACAGATGTTTTATGCCTTAAGGCAGCTTTTCAGTTATTCCTTATAAGGACTCCTTCCAGTGTTTTCCCCATTTCCTTTGACCCTTTCCTGAACACTTGCAAACTTTCTCTTTACCCATACCCCCTAGGAGTTTAAGAAGTCCTAGGCATATTTACTGTGTACAGTGGCTCGTGCCTACAATCCCAGAACTTTGGGAAACCGAGGGGGGAGGATAGTTTGAGCTCAGGAGTTTGAAACCAGCATGAGCAACAATGCTGCCCATACAAAAAACTAAAAAAATTTATCCAGGTATGGGGACACACAGCTGTGGTCTCAGCTGTTAGGGAGGCTAATACAGGAGGATTGCTTGAGCTCAGGAGTTCAAGATGGCAGTGAATATGATCCTGCCACTGTATTTCAATCTGGGAGACAGAGCAAGACCTTGTCAATAATACAACAACAACAACAATAATGTCCTAAGCATATTTTCTGAAGTTCTTTGAGTTCATTTGTCAAACCCATCCATGGCTGGTGAATATTGTCACTGATGCTTCTACATTGTGAATTATTGCTGGGCTCCAAATCTCACAGTCCTTTTTTATAACCTTCAAAGTTCATGGAATGAATAGCCACAAAGGCAGAAGTTATCTATGAATCTAACATCCCACTAAAAGAAGAGTAAAAGATAGGGGGGAAAAAAGGAAATGCAAATAAGATGAAAACTAGCCAGTAAGTATCTAGGTTTAAGTACAGAAAGAAAAAAAACTGTTTTAAATTTAGGTAATATTTACCTACCAATCACACATTTTCTTCTGTAGCAACAGATAATGAAGAATGTAAATATAATAGCAACTTGCCTTTCTATTCAATTTCAGTAAATACCTGTTAAGTACTTGCTATGTATTAGGCATTGGAGTAGGCTGAATAATAGTGTTTCCACTTAATAGAATTTACATTCTGGCTCAGAAGTCAGACAAATAGACAAATAATGATGATGGAATGGGCTAAGTACCATCATATAATTTTATGTGCAAAATGTCATGGAACCCTTTTGGAAGGAGGAACATAATTTTAACATAAATTTAATTTGCAAGAGCCAGAAAGATCAGTTAGATCTTGATAAAAATGAGACCCCCAAGGTACATACAACCTAAGTCAACAAATATTCCTCCCTGTAGTTTCTAAAGATTTCGAGGATCCAAACAGAATCATTTTTCTTGTGGCCTCCATTTTACATGAGACAGAAAGATGTTAAATAACTCACTGTGGTTTTCATAAGTGGCTTTTCTTGTCTGCTGTTGATGACTGTCCCTCTAATGACTACTCGAAATTATAAATCAAAGCTTTGCTTATATGTTTGTTGTGAAGGAGAGACTCTCCTATCTGAGATAAAATCCTGTCCCTCAATTATGCGGGAATACAGAACCAGTGCATTAAATCTGGATGGTGGCTGTGAAATAAAATATGTGCAGATTTTAATCTTGTGGAAATTCAAATTGAATATAGGAAAAATGGAAAGTTCAGATGATGATGGAATATATAATTTTATTCTTAACATATTTCTAATAAATATATTTGAATTATTTTATTAGCAATATTATTTAAGGAGTTTGTCAGTTGCTCTTGGTCATGAACTCTGTCCACATATATGGCGTTCAGCATGTTGCCCTTTACATAGTAAGTGTTCTATCCATAAATGTAAGATTAAAGGTAAAATTCTTAGGGCCCCCTGAATTTTTATAGAATATTCATATCTTTCTTTTAAAGGTAAAGCACTATGAGTTTTCCTTGTTTTTCTACAGGTTGCAAGATGTCTAAAGATGGGGCCAGCCTGCAGGTAAACCCTCATCTTTATGCAATAAATAAAGATATTGCTATCTTTAGCAATAGCCCTCTGAATGAGCCTCTCTGACCTCAGGTGGGCCTTTTCTAGAAGAATATTTAAGCCCCTATAAAATATTCTTTAAGGATATTTCCCCTTTTCTGTGGATTGTGAAAACCATTTCCATATGATGGGTTATTCTTTAATTTAAATGGGCTTTTTTCATACTAGTGTCTGAATCAGCTTGAAGTACTGGAGCAGAAAGGTATGTAATTTAAAAATATACATATGCAATTACTTATATGGAGAATAAAAAGCAATAATAGATAAATATATGTAATAATACTACTCCCGTGCAACTCTTAGTTTTATTGACTTTTCCTATCTTTCTATCCATCTGTCCATCTACCTATTACCTATCTACCTACAATGATTACATGAGTAATAGGATCTACTGGTATATCCATTTTACATAAATAGATATAGGAAACTAAAGCTCAGAGAAGTTAAGTAACTTGATCAAGGCACACAGATAGTAAGTAGTAGAGGTGAAGCTTGAGCTCTGAGTCTGGATCCAGAGTCCATGTCTTTAACCCCGACTCTAAACTGCCTTTCTCTTTAAGGTCTGGGAGAAGAGAGAAAAGTTCATTTCTTGCTCGACAACTTTTGTTCTCTGTATAGATTTGTTCAAGTCTGTTGACATGGAAAAGAGTAGGCCAGGAAAGAAATATTTTGTGTATCTACTGTCAGCCAAACATAGTATTAGATACTTTCCATATATAATTACATGGTATCTTTATTATACTCTATCAAGCTCTTCAATATTATCCTATTTTACTAATTGGAAAATGGAGCTCAGAGCTTGTAAATAACTTTCTAGAAACACACCAGGTAGAAGGTGATAAGTCAATGTTTAAAAACAGAATTGAGTGTTCTGCCTAGACCATGCATTTAAATGTCTGTAGATCAAATGACTGATAACAGATCATGAAAGGCTACCAGGGGTCCTCAAACTTTTTAAACAGGGGGCCAGTTCACTGTCCCTCAGACCATTGGAGGGCCAGACTGCAGGCCCCGGGACAAGTTGGCTGCTAAGCAGGATAGGCAGTGGTGGCAAAAACACCCAGCAGGCTGGATAAATGTCCTAGGTGGGCCGCATGTGGCCCGTGGGCCATAGTTTTAGGATGCCTGGAGATGTACATAACCAGAAATCCTTTAAGAAATAGTATTGGAGTTTATAGCTACTCAGAGTTAAGATTTCTGCCAAGAAAGTAAATATGGGAAGTTTATTTCCCGTCACAGCCCTATGACTAGGGATATAGCTCAGGCCTTGAATCCTACCTTGATAAATACTGTCCTGAAGTGAGATTTGTAGTTTCCACCTCCATGCAGTTCATCGTGCTGGGAAGGAGAGCGAGTTCTGGCTGGATCATGGTGGCTGTGGCCACGGCTCTCGCCACCAGCTCCATAGCATCTTGTACGTAGTACTCAAAGACAGACTGTGTTGTTTTTCCATGAGCAATCAGCCCCAAGGGCAGACCTTCTGTCCTTAGTTCCTCCACATTCTGGGAGTCTCCCAGCACCCAACGAAGTTCAGGGGGTGTTACCCCAAACTGGGTGGTAACTTGGAAGATCCGCCGGATGCTTTCCATGTCGCAGCCAAACATCACCATGGTGGGCGTGCTATTTTTAATACTCTCAAGCTGGACCTGCAGGAAGCTCAGAAGGTCCTCGGTGGAGGAGAGGTTAGCAGTGATGTTGATGACAGAGTCAAGGTGGAACTTGGAATTGTCCTGGGTAAGGAGGAGGAAGTCGGTGACGTTCCAGTCTTCCTGGCACAGCAACAAGCTAAAATTGTACCAGTTGTTCATGGTCAGGATTGAGACAGTGACATCAGCATCAGAACTTAATGAATTTTCTAAACTCAGTTGTAGGTGAAGGGGATTCTGTATTTAAAGATATGAAAAAGAAGAATTAGAAAGCATTGGCCAGAGATAATATATAACATAGGGTATTTTTGCTTTCTTATAAGGCTTAATCCTTTCTTTTTCCCTGTGACATTTAAATACCACTGGGATACAATTTCCATACTTTGGATAACTATGCTTCCTGTCTAATGGTACTATTGACTCCATACAATTGATATCCTAATAATTTTTGGAAAGAGTACCAGAAGGCAGATGGTGCTTGGTGTAAATATCAGGGTGTTACAGACATATATCTGGTCAGGCCTGTCCGCTTCCTTACAGACAGTTTCCCTATGCATCCCTTTTCTTTGTATCACTTTCAATAACTCATTTGTTAAACTTTTCTCTCAGGTGAAGTAATTAATGGACACTCCTTTTGCTTTTTAAAAAATTAATAGCAAAGAAATCTAAACACAGCACAGATGCTTGTATAAGGATGGTAGGAAAAATGGCTGCACCATAGTTTCCTAAAATTCTGGCCCCTTGAGGAGAGCACTTCTAATATAGATAGAATAACTAGCACTATATACATCGGGATTAAGTGTATAGTTCAATGGCTTGATTACATTTCTGTCCCTGCTGAGCCTTGATTCTTGCTGTGAAAAGTGAAATCTGCAGCATTTAACACGCTTATGTAACTTCCATCATAATTTCTTCTACTTATGGGACTCACCAACTCAACAGAGGAAGAGTATTTTATTTGAAAACTCACAAATTGTTAATAATATAGTTGAAGTGGAAACAGATTTCCAATGAACAAATTTTTAATTGTTCTCCTCAAGAGCAGACATTAGCCATTTTATCTTTCTTTTTCTTTTTTTTCTTTTCACGTTCATCATCAGATACTTACGTCCTGAGAATGTTTAGCACAATGCTTCACGTGTGTTAGGTATACAGTGAACATTGGTCAATTTGAACTAAATGCATTTTTATTGGGAGCTACTGGGCTATTTTTGAGAGCTTGCCAAACATTCAAGTCAATAATATTCACTGAGACATGAAGAAGTCTTTCTCAGGAAGATGCCAAGCCCTTCTATTAAATGAAAAAAGTGTGGCCTGTCCCTACTCACCCAAAAATATGCAACATGAAATAGAATTTGAGCTGAACTTTGGACTCTTTGGAGGACTGAAAAGACTTTGATATGTGGATGAAAAAAAAATGAAGATTCTAAGGGGGTTTCCAGGAGGAAAACTATGATCACAGGCAGGAAACAAGAGCCCTTGATAGAAGGTAGGATGGAGCTTTAAAATCTATTCTCAAAAACTGTCTTTTGTTCTTCCAAATTCAGCTTTTGGGCAAGGTTTGTAGTGATGAAAACAGAGCTTTGGAAGGGTCACATATGGGAAAAGTTCAATAGGGAGAAAGCCCTCCATCCCAGGATTTCGATTAGACACTCAGTATTGGAATCTAGTGTTGGTAATAGTGGGAGGGGGGATGAGAAAAGTTCTTTCTTTTTTTACTAAAGAAAATGTAGTGCTGAGATGTCAGAGGCAAACGAGAACAGATGTCAAAACCTGGGAGATTGTATCCTCTCAGTAGCTGCTTATCTCTAGGGTGAGATGTCAGGCCGACCTGAGGTGAGAGGAAGGGAGGGTTCACTTCCTCACTCCTTTTGATTTATATAAATTGCTTCTGAGACTTCTTTCTGTCCTTCTCATTCAGGTTCCTTTCTTTCTTTCTTTCTTTCTTTCTTTTTTTATTTTAATTTTCTCCTCCGCCTTAACCCTCTTCCAGAAGCAAAGAGCAATGGAAGGCAAGCTCTATATTTAGCTGGCAGGAACAAATTATTCCCAACTGTTTTCTTGGCTTCGGCTCCCTAATCTCTTGCCAGCTTTCTTTCTAAAACACAAATATAACGATATTATTCTTCTGCATCATAACCTCTAAATCACCCATAGGACAAATTCCAAAATCAATAGTATGGTTTAGGAGGCAAGGGTAAGATTTATTCTACCCTTGCTAAGTAGGAAGTTAAAGTAGCTAATCAGATTGAACATATTGCACCAGATAGAGAAACAAATGCATTTGGTGTGAAAGAGACAGGAGAGTGAAAGGAAGACCCCCCCCATGAATGAATAATGATTCATTCATATAATCACATTCATTCCTATAAACGGTTCTGCCGAGAAATTACAGATGTTGGAGTTAATCCTTTTGCAGACTTAACATACATAATTCTTCAAATAAATATTTATTAAATAATGGTGTAGTAGCACCTACTGATATATTATTTATCTAGCAGCCTCACATGCACTGTGTTCCAATTTTTCCTTGTATAATGACAGATGCACACCCCCCCACCCCAAAATATAAAGACTTGTACATGTAACACACTTTAAGCCTGATAATGGAACTTCGGTTAAAATCTTGAACAAAAATGAAATGAGACTCATTGGGCCAAATTGAGCATCAAAATATGCATCTTATGTATGATTCATTGTTTATAAAAGAGCAAACCTGAAAGAGCAAGCCTGAAAGAAGGTGTACATATAAAGAAGGTGTAAAATATAATTTCCACATTGTTTGTCTCTAAGTCAGAGATTTAGTGACAGAACGACTCAAGAAGAAAGAAGCTTCTGTCTATGGTATAGATTGAGTGAATCTCTCTCATAAGTACATCCATTGTATATATATTAAAATAAACAGGCTCAGAAGAGGAAGGGGGCAGAGGAAAAATATGAATTTAAGTAGTACTGATACTTCTCATTCTTTTACATGAGGGTACTATTTATTATATGTGGTGTATTATATATTATTATGTAGTAAAATATATACACATTATCGCATATATTGTATACACAAAATGATGTAGGTTAAACCAACGAGGTAATTTATAAGATTTCCAAATGTAATTTTCCCACAATTTGAACTGAATCTTCATTTCTATTGAAGACAACACTTCACTATATTGATTTTTAGGGTTTTATTTCATCCTAAGTTCTTCTACATTATTTTAGAGGCTGGAATTCCCCAAAGCACAGGGCGTGGTCTGGATGGGGAATGTCCATGCCGCCAAGCACTCACGGAATGAAATCCAAAGTTGTGCAGAGCTGGAGAGAGAGAGCATTACCAGGAATTTGGTTCAAAGTGTCAGAGGATCACTCGACAGTGTAGCGAAGACTGGTTAACCTGCCATGGATCAGACTATATTTATATCTAGTAAAATGTTAAAGCTCCACATATAAAAAAAATCAGGCAAGAAGAGTAAAAAAAAAAAAATGAAAAAAGAAAAGTGGTAGGCCTTGCTTTAGAGGATATTAGATCACATTAAAACCCATAATTTTTATAAAGCAATAATAGTTAAAATAAAGAAGTAAAGTAAATAAATACATAGAAGAAACACATTAAATTAATATATTACAAGTTAAAAATCATAAAGATTTGAAAGAAAATATGAGATTAGGATTTGAGAAGATAGATTATTTTTAAAAATAGCCGTTAAATTCCTAATTTTGTCATATATTAAGAATAAATTCCAGGCCATTTAAGAGTTAAAAATACAGTATCATTAAAAGATAGATCAAATAGGTAAATATGTCTCAGAAATTACAATGATTAAAAGAAAACATTCAACTAAATATCACAACACACTTTATTTCTAGCTTTGAACACCTACCATAAACAAAAAGTGAAGGAACACGAGAGAGAAGAGAATAGTTGCATGAATTTGGCAGGCAGAGAGTTAATGAAGAACTAATGAAGAACTATGAAGAGCTTTATTAGTCGACATATTAGTTGATGAGAAGATAGAATCCTTTACTGAACACTCATGCAATCTAGAAAAATAATTTTTAATCTCCTACGGTGAGCCAAATCCTGCACAAAGTATTCCCTGTTGCCTATGTAATGGGTAAAAGATAGACAATATAGAAGCAGACAAAAACTTCATGTGACTATAAATTTTAAAAATTAATAAAAATGAAATCAATAGTGTGTGGCAAGCCTAGGAGAAAAAGGAGAGTGTCCTGGGAAATATTCACTAGTCATTAGGATTAGTGGGAAGTAGGAGAGTGCAAGTATTTGTACTGTACAAGCACTCTCTAATTGAGGGTTTAGAAAAAAGATGAGAGGTGTTTGAAAACAATTGATTATTATGTAGGGATTCATAAAAACGTACACATTTAGCGAGGAATGCGTTCTCATTTGCCCATCCCTTCTTTTGCCAGATACTTCTTTCTAGCTCTGCACACGTGACTGAGGCCGTCCCTTGCTTCTGGATTCCCCGTTTGATCCTGCATTGTCCTTTTCAGTAGTGTCTACAGTGTTTTTACTTCAGTCCCCAACTGTGCCCGCTGGTGCGGCCACTCTCTTATAGTGGCTTAGGACTCAGAAGTCAGGGCGACAGATGCTTACGTTTTGTCTCCATCATTTATGAGCCTCACGGCCTTCTACAAGTCATTTAGCCTCTCTGAGTCATCCATTCCTCATCTCTAAAATGAGGACAGTGCTACTGCCTACCTTATAGATTCATTATGAGAATTAAATATGAGAATGTGATAATGCATGGAAAATGCCCAGCACACAGCGAGGGCCCAGTAAGTGGCAACTGTTACAATTTGCTTATAGAGTCTAGTCCTTGGGTTAGAAGCGCTTGCTAACGTGGCTGCGATGCAATAGTTTTCTTTGCTGCTGTTCTTTCTCTCATTTATTTGCATGCGACAATCTCAGCAATAGGTATCATTTATAAATAGGAATTATGCCACGAGGAGAGCAGATGTTCCGTGTCAGGTCAGGCTTGGGTTATTTATTTGGGAGCTACCATATTCACAGCAGAGTCCCCCCCATCCCACCCCAGACTCTTCTTTTTGCTCCTTCACAAGTTAAGGAATTTGGTGTCAATGGGTTCCCATTCCCCTGGATAACACAGACTCATCCGTTTTCTGGATCAGTAAAGATTTCAAAAACAGGATTGACCACAGCAAAGAGCTTGCCAGAGAGCTTTGAGATGCAGAAGAAAAAAAGGTGATTGAACTGAGTT